ACACCAGCTCACTCATCTCAAGTTGCAGTTAACAAAGCAAGGGCATGTTGATTTGAAATCTTGCAGTATCTGCTTTATTCTCCCAACCTCGCACCAAGTGACTTTTTCTTGTCCCCAGAAATGAAAAATCTGTTGTGGGGTTGCCGATTTGACAACACAAATCATGTCATTCATGAAGTGGAAGAGTGGTTTAAGGTGCTATCGGCAGACTTCTACAATAATGGTAGAAGGGTTTGGAGGGTCAAGAAATGCTGGGAAAAATGTTTAAATCTGGATGGTGATTACGTAGAGAAAAGTTAACAACTACAAATCAAAACAAACTTTGTCAAATTTTTTTAAAGGTGATAATTAAAACTTTACGATACTCCCACATACATCATTAGCCAGGAACAGTCGATCAAGTGTCGGACTAAGCCTCTAGGAGACCAGGGTTCAATCGCCAATTGGCCATGAAAACCAGCTATGTGATTTTGGGCAAGTTGCATTCTCTTAGCCTCAGAGGGAGGCAAGCCCCCTCTGAACAAACCTTGCCAAGAAAACCCCATCATAATAGGCCCCCACCTTAGGGTTGCTATAAGTCAGAAATAACTTGAAGGCATACAACAGCAACAACAACAGCCAGGGACAGGCAACTAACTTTTGCAATCACATGCATTAACATAAATGTTATTCATTTTGATATTTATTTCATCATTATCATCATCACCATCATAATATTTATTTATATCCCGCAATCGGGGTGGCTTACAACATTAAAATTTCCATACAGATATATTAATACAATCTAAACAGAACATAAAAATCCCAAATCCCACCCGTCCTTGAAGTAAGGGTTCTTCTTATTATAAATACATTTAAAACACACAAGTAAAAATATTGTACACTGAGAAAGTACTTGATTCAAGCATTAACAATCACAAGCTGATGAATCACAATATTCTACCCACTTCGCTTCCATGTCAATATTGTGGCTTGTTTAAACCACAGTTTCCCATTATATCTGACCAGAGAAATTGTGGTTAAATTCCTGTTTACTAGCCAGGATACGAACTGATACCTGGGTCTCTGTTGAGCATGTTCAAAAAATGTACATATGCTGTTGTATTCAAAAGTACAGAAGAGTAACAAGGATGTGTAGCAGTACTCTCATCTGTAACACAGAAGATGATCCTCTGGATTCGTCATGGGGATCTTATTCAAGCCACCCTGTAGTTTCTCTGGCCTCTTGAGGTTTTGAAACCCTACTTCACTGGCAGACTTATACAGGATATACAGTTGCCGCTCCATTTTCGTGAGGAATCTGTTCCGGACACACACCCCTCGCAAAAGTGCAAATTCAAAGATATATTCATAGATTTTTATTACTTTATTGTTTATATTTTGTACATTGTATTCATTTTATTGTGTAATCCCACCTCGATCCGTAGGGAGAGGCAGGAGATATAAATAAAACTTATTATTATTATTATTATTATTATTATTATTATTATTATTATTATTATTATTATATTCAAGCCTCATAGGCTTGAATGGCCACATCCTCCTGTACGCAGCTCTGTGCATGCACCATGGGTGCGTGCACCATTTTAACCATCCCTGCTTACTAATCCACGAAGGACCAAGACCACAGATTCAAAGTCTGCAAAAATGGAGGGGCAAGTGTACAAATAAATTATCCACCCATGTCATAGCTCAGCATTTTGAGTAGTAGCATATGAACATATGCCACCTATGTCTGACTGAATATATTTACATAGGCCTAAATATCCTGAAGATACTAGATCCTGTTTGAGCTAGGAAGCTAAGCAGGGTCAACTCTAGTTAGTACTTGGATGGGAGACTACCAAAGGAATATCAAGTGCTGCAGGCTATACTTCAGAGGAAGGCAACGGCAAACCACCTCTGAGTATTCCTTGCCTAAGGAAGCTCTAGGAAATTCATGAAGTCACCATCTGTCAACAGGTGACTTGAAGGCACATATGCACACATATAATGTACCAGAGAAGTAATAAAATACTCTATTTTATATATGCAAAAATGAGGCTTAAAATTATAATTAAACAAAGGTGTAACAGAATTAAAACTTTCTTAGTCCCAGAATAATAAACTGACCATTGTAACCTCCTTCCATACCTGTGGGATATATTGCCTTCTCCACTTCAAAAAGGATTGGATTCTTGCCATTGGCATAAACGGTGACAGCATCTCCTTTGTGAGTGTACAGTTTAATAACATTCAGCTCCTCTTTATTTGGGATAACCTCAGATAACTGTTCAGAAGTGAGGGACGGAAATGTTGCTGCAACATCATTTCGCAATTTCCTCCTACAAAGGTCAATCGCACATACGTTATTACACACATCACCTGAAACAGTCTCATCCTGAAATTTCACACACTTCATTTGGCAAAGTACAATCTTGGGCCACATGCAGTTCCCAGACTATTTGTGTGGTCCCCAACACCAGGAAAGGGAATTTACTTTTTAAATAGGTTGCTCTGAAATAGGTATTATTTAACATTTTAAAATACTCATTGTTCAATATTAGAATTGTACTTCTTATTTATTAGAGAAAAAAACTTTTTCCCATTAAAAATAGTAATAACACACATACTGTTACAAACTACTGACATGATATCTAGCATATATAACTTTATTTTCTGGCGTATAAGACTACTTTTTAACCTGCAAAATCTGGGGTTGAAGTGGGAGGGGGTCATCATACGCCGGGTATAAGGAGGTTCATGATAGCTTGCCTTAGTGTCATCATTAGCTGGAAATGACTTGAAGGTGCACAGCAACAACAACAACAGTTTTGGAAGTCATACTCTTCCCAAACTCTATATTTTAACTGGAAAAGTGGGGGGGGTCGTCTTATACGCCCGGTCGTCTTATACACCAGAAAATACAGTATATATTACTATATATTGAAAACTACATCACATACACGATACACATAATACATATAAAACCAATAGATACAAACAGCAAAATACAAAAATGACTTCCCAACTCTTTTTCCTATTGTTATTTTTAATTATTACTTCTGTTTTTCTCCTCTAATTGTTATCTCTCAACTCATTACTATATGCTAAAGAATAAAAAATTATTTTTCCAGTAATATATCTCATCCCAAGCCGACTACAAACATATCACCCCATTCATTCTTTAAGTAATTTATAAAAGGTTCCTATTCATTTTTAATTTTATTTAGTGATTTCTTTTTAATTAATTGTGTTAATTTATTTATTTCAAAATAGTCATATAATTTTAATAACCAATCTTTTACTTTTGGAGCATCTGACTGAAGAACTGGTGTTCTAATTACTTTTAGTTGGGAGAAAGGTGGCATTTTTGGCAATTGGTGTGGCCTCTATACAGTCCTAAGGCAAAAATTAACCTCTGGGCCTTCCAGAATTGCCCTTTTTGGCATGGCATATCCTCTCTAGAATGTGCGGGTGTATGCTGAGGTGGGGGCAAAGCTTATTGTGGAGGATAGAGTCCCAGTTGTGTGTTCTTCTGCACATATTTTGGCCCACTTGACAGTGCCTACACTCAAAGAAGCCATTATGTTAGATGTGGTTCAATACTATCATACAGAGAATATTTTCTTCCATATATAGATGACATTAGAGATGGCTGAAATGTAGCTTTTACAGTTATGACTTGTGAGTGGAGGAGCAAAGGTTCCCCATATCCACAGATTCTTTATCCATGAATTCAAGCCTCCATGGATTGAAAATATTCCAAATATATATAAAAATTCCAAAAAGCAAACTTTGATTTTGCCACTTTAT